CTCTTAATTCTTAAAACATGCAGTTCCTATTGAGGATTTAGTCAAGGAGAACTCCTGTCTGATATCAAACAATAGTGTATTTCCCAGCAGGAAAAAATGCCTAATTCATTTTCTATGTTTTTTACACGGCTGATTAATCCAACATACATATGGGGAAGCTGCCTCCCCTGGCATGCCTCAACGCAAACGGTGATCAATGAATTAACTAAAATCAAACCCTCCCTTAACCTGTTCAAAGTAATACTTGCAGCAGAGGTGTTTTTATCTCTGCATATCACTAAGAGTGATGGCAACTGAACAAAACAGGAGACGGGAATAGACAGCTCTCCCCAACATCCAACTGAAAAACAAAATTGCTGCCAAATCTAGTGTTACAGCTTAGCTCAGTCCTCTAGGTAGGCTTTCAGCAGCCTCCAGCATCACTGCATGCTTTAGGAAAATAAACTATATCCCTCGCAAGCTGTCCCAGCTTCCTTTCCGTAGGGAGCACTAGTGGGACAGCCTCTGCTCCACACTCTCCTTGGGAACTTGCGCCAGGAAGCAGAGAGCAGCAGTAATGGATATACATGAAGGCAAAAGACACTCTTGGCCTTTTTTATTCCTCTTCTGAGTCACAGTGCTCCTTTCTGCAGTGAAGCACAAGTGATGCCAGGGAAGCACGTTGCCTCTTGTCTTCTCCCAGCCTGGGCAGCATTTTGCCTGTTTGGCACCTTGCAAGCAAGGGTGATGTTATGAAAGTTGCTTGTTCTGTGCTCCCAGCAACAGAAGATGCAGCGGCCTCCTAACCCTCGACCTGTGTTCACAACACACTTACAGCTGAGATTGACTAAAGCAGCTTTTCAACACCATGTCGTTCATTAAAAGAACGTCAAGGCTTAAAAGAAAAAATCAGTATTATAAGACATTGACAAGCTCCTACCAAAAAAACAGGTGTTTTAAGAAGTAGATGGGCTCTTGTCTGAGCAGCAAAATTTTGGCCAAAGACACTAAAATAGCCCCAGTTAAATCAGATGTCTTTAGGATGCCACTGCCAAGTCCTCGTAAGTAACAGAAAAGAATTTCATGACTTGGTGCAATGTAACCATGTAAGGGCAACTCTGTCCATCTTGTACAGTACAAGTACAGTTCATTCCCTTTCATGGCTCTAGAAGATCTGAACTATTCCTGTCCCAGGAAAACAAAGAACATTTTACATCACAATACTAGAAAATGTAACTCAAAATTGATTTTTAAAGGGACACATGTCCTCCCTTGTCCTCCCTGATTCTGCAGAAATTTTTGTAAGACCTCATGTTCTATGCAGTCTTGCTGGTGAAGACGGTGTGAACTTCAGGAAGCCTTTAGCACAACACTAATCCATTTCCAATCGGACTAGGTTTTAGGATATGGCACCATAACATTTCATAAGCTTATTTTGACACAAAATCAATGAAAAAGTAATTATTTTAAATTTTTTTAAATTCTGAAAAACAAACAGCAATCAGTATTACAAAGCAAAGTTGTAAATTACAACATAATTCTTAAATACTTAATCAACACAGAAGTGTAAATTTGGTATAGCTGAATGCTAATGGAGTTTTACTGCTTAAAAAGACATCTGAGAGACCTCAAGTTCATCTTGAACTTTTAAGCTGTGAGTTCACTTTGCCTCATGGAGGAATTCCACTGAAATCCACATGGATGAACAGAGTCCCAGGGGATTAGAAGCAAGTCAACAATATTTAAACTCTTTGGTAAACTAGGCATTTATCAGCAGTAAACAGTTACTGGTTTTATTTAAAATTCTACCCTAATGCCAAGGCAGAAGCAGCTAATTTAAGATATGTCAGAAAGAAACATCAAGTCCAATTAAAACTTATCTCCTTTTACTGTGTACAAAGGAAAGTAACGAGGATTGGATGTAAGCCAAGCCAAAATCTCTCCAGTTTGGAGACTGTATTTGTCTTTCCAGAAAGTTTTTTCAGAGATTTATCTGCTGGAAAAATGAATTATTTCCAGGAGAATCACAGCTAACAGTCATCATTCCCCCCCCCCCTTTTTTTTAAATGCATTTTTCATGGTTGACTTAGATGTCAGAAGAAAATAGCTCAAAAATAAAGTGTGGGTTCATTTTTTTCTGCTTGTGGTATTTAAAAGGTATCTATCTCTCTCACATGCTTTTTGTATTATTAAGTTTAACATGAATTGAACATGAAGCCTTTTTTTGGTCTTTTTAGCTGAGTTCCCCCTTACTTGAAACATCCAGGAGTTTATCTTTTGAAAGTTCTATTGGCTTGGAGGAGGACTAGTAAATTCAAGTGTTATCAGTGGGAAGACAGAATGTGCAACCAAAGATGTTTTAGTTTATAGCTGTGCTAAAAAGGGCTAACAGCCTGTCAATGTTGGTCTTCTCTGCTGAAATTGCTCCTGAAACAAAGCTTCAATTACGTACTTCATTATACCTATACAGTGGCTTACACTTGAAATCCTAATTCACTTCATGATTTGGAAAAGATCCTGATTCAAATTAAAAAAACACACCACACTGCAACTACACATTCAAATGGCCTGATTTGCCATGCTTAGTTTCAATAGATATCCATGGTGTCAAGACAGGATCTTCTAAAGAAATATGCTGCATTTTGACATGCATGAGAACTAAGAAAAATACAGATAAGGAGAAAGATACTACACTTGGGTAGTTCAGCCATCCTCCTTCTTAGTTCAGAGGCGATAGCATCCCTATTCCAGGCTCTCCTGAGAGAAGCCTGAGGCTTAAGTTTCCCACACCCACATGCATCCACAGTAACTTGCAAACAAGTCAGAAATAAGCCACATGGTAACCAGCTCTACACGAAGACAGCTTACAGTATAAACAGGAAAGCATCACCAAAACAGTTTCTATCACTTGAGAAAACTTTGAGAGAGGCCCTATACAGAGATTTGAGTAAGAACAACTGCAAACATTGTCCTAGGGATGATCACGCAGGAGCAAACACGATGTGATCTAGATATAACCTCTCTCAGTAATTCTTGAGAACGCGCAGATCAGAACACACGATCTGGAGGACAGCCTGTGTATGGTTGTAGATATTATGAAATTGGTAAAATGTGTCTGACAGTGGAAGTTTTCAATCCTAGTCATATCACGCTGGCATATTTTAAAACTACCAAAACCATAGATGACATTCCATTTAAGTGATAAGCACCAACTGACAAATAAACCTTCTGTATGCAAACAACATCTACCAACACAAAAGCAGCACCTGGAAGAAAGGATATAGCCTCTTCTTGTATCCCTCCTGCGAAATAAAAATCTGAGAGACATTATACCACTAGAAGAGACACCATGCTTTTAAGTCCTTGTGGAATTATAGCCAAAGTAAATCAGAAATCTCTTTTCCCAATAGAGGTGCCAATAATTTTAACTAGACACTTTAAGACACAGAAGTATAAAGTGTCTGCTCTTCTCTGAACACCTATTCTTTCCCCTTTCTCATACCTGTATCTTAGCGCCAGCAGTTGCTTCTAGCCTTGCACTTACTGCAACTCTGTTTCTCAATTCCACAGACAGTATAGGAAAACAAAGATTGTGGAGAGCTTTTGCAATTTAATAACAGTGTTAAGACATAACAAAGTTGTAATACTGCGGAAAGCACTGTGGCCCAGTAGAATGACACGTGAGATCCCAAAGGTTCGTTAGTACAGCTATAGCACCTTGAGCATAGCACTTTCCAAGTGCAATACCAAAGCCAAATGTGAAGAGCTGACCAAAGAAAAAAAAAAGCCAAGAAACAAGAATTTCTGGTGTGTGTTGGCACACAAAGCAGGAGCAAGTTCAGAGGTGTCAGAATACAGTACTGCAAGGTCAGGATGATAGATCTTTTAAACACTTGAGTTTGACAGCACATCTATGATCTCAGCCCTGCAGGATAACCAACCTTATTTCTAATCCAGTATCTGAAGTCAATGCCTGATGGTAACTCAGCAAAGCTGCGGTTTAAGTATCAGTGTAGTCTGAGCCAACAAGTAATATTTTTCTTTCACAGTAACTGCTTCAGAAGCTTTACATTATCATAAAACCAACCAGTTCAAATTAAAACTAAACGCCTGAAGTACAACAGGTAAAACCTTGAAGCAACTATTTCAAACTACATTAGAAAAACTTGTGTGCGTTATGTCAGAAGCGTGAAGTGATGGAAATTAGCCAGAGACAGGGAACTGACAGATAAGAGAGGCAATGTCAGCAGATGTAGTATCATTCAAACTGCTTGCATTCTCCCTCTATTCCGCTAGTAAGCTAGCTAAAAAAAAACCCCCACATCAGCAGGTAGAAAGTCTATCTAGCCCTTAAAGGGCTATTAAGTAATTTATTAAAACATTGCCAAATATTCAGAGTTATCTCTCCTTAATTACCCTGCTTTTCAGCTGGGAAAATATCTTAATTTTTAATTCTTTTTAATTTTTAATTCTTAAATAAGAGTAAAAAGGTAAAACTTTGTCTCTCTCACACGGCAATCAATCTGCTAGCATGCCAAGAAGCATTTCTGATAAGACAGTTTTCCATGAATTCCAGTTTTAATAATTCACTTAAAGAATGTGTGTCAATGGCAGAGTAAATATTGTGAGCCTCTATCAGCAGAAAAACCACTAAACCTTGATATCATAACCAAAAGAATCCCCTTAGTTTTTCCAATGAAAAAGCAGCAAGCTGATTAGGTTGCTACATTGCAAAATGTTCTATTACAGATCAAAAAAGGAGTTGAGCTACAATCAAAAAACTTATTAAGTCTGTAAAAGAAAGATTATAGTGAACCAAAGAGTGAAGTGGAAATTCTTGATTTTCAACTCTGGCACTGCTTTACAAGCTGATTTGTTTTAAGAATTCATAATCAGAATCTGTATATCTTTTGAAGACACACATTTCTAACTCTTTTAAGACTAGCTATAATAAATCCACCGATGTTTATGACTTGAACAAAAGACACAGCACAATATAGGTTTGAACTGTTTATTTTACATCAGATGTTCCATACCAGAGTTTCTTCAGTTAGAAGTTCCTAGAAGAAAATGAAACAAACATTGTTACAGACCAGTTTGCTTCAACAGCTCAAGTAAATAGTTTTGACCAACTGTGTAATCATCCTATAAATACAGTGTATACATTTTAATCCTAAAAGTTGGATTTGGGTATAGAAGTTACCCCTGCAAGAGTTAGAGGATAAGATAAACATACGTACTTGGAAACAATTCCATCATTTTTTGCCAGACGCAGAATGGAGTCATCTGATTCACCCTTTAAAAAAATAAAAGATGATTCTGAAGTGACCAAATAATTGCTGATATACATTAAAAAGAGAGGCAGCTGCAGCATTTAATGCTGGTCGTGAAATGCACAACACTTTCCACAGATCACTGCACTTTATATGCACAGATTAGCATTTTCAAAACAAGTTGTTAAATTATTTGTCATCCTTTAGAATAAGAAATGGTTTTAATTTGATAAAAGATACACTTGCATTACAGATATATTTCTGGGTAAGCAGACTTCTGACGAACTCTAGAAAGCTTCACACCATGTTTAACAAATTTAAGTCATGGTAGTATCATCTCTAATAATCATAAACAACAGATAAAAGCCAGATATTAGTAGCTTAGTACACTCTTAAAAGAAAAAAATCCACTTGCATCCTTCAGTGATTCAAAAAAAACCAAAACAAACATACATAATTCTACAGACCAAAGGATTGAGGAAAAAAACAGAAGAAACTGATTCTTGCAAATGAATTTGTTCCCATCTTTACTCTGTCTTCATTATCCCCACAAAAGCTCTTCCTCTAGAATGAGCTGAAGGCACATTGCGTTTTCAGGGCCAAATATAAATCTAAAAAATTACTAATCAATATAAAAAGAAGCACTATCATCTTGTAGCTCAAGAAAATACTTACCATTCTACGAATTGCTCCGCAAATGGCATACGTTTTGAACTGGCCATTTACTCTGCCTGTTACCTTGTCAACCTGTAATTACAAGTTAGTTACTCCACACAGATTCCTATAAAATTTTATGCTCTTACATCGCGCTTGCCAAGCACTCAAAGATAAAAATTACTTGTTAAATTTTGCAAATATTTTTCCGCAAACTACAAAAACCCAAGGCAAATACTGACGTTAGAAAGACAACTATAGAATATCTTTTCACAGCAAATTTACATAGTGCAGCTATAAAATTTAATGGATCACACAGCATAACAAGAACACAATACAAAATGGTAGCTAAAAGAAGAAAATGCTTGAGTTCTAAAAAAATGGAAAAGTTCAATGTAAAGTTTACTTGGGGATTTACTGCCTTTGTTATTTTTTCATGTTTCCTTTAATTAAGGTCAGTATTAGGGAAAATTGAAATGAAGGTGGGAAGGGGACGGTTACACAGGTAGAAAAATGCCCAAGTTGAGACACAGAAATTGTCTCACTTCCTCCAGTTGCTGAGAAATTTAACAGGAAAAAAGACAAAACAATATAAATCATGAAATTAAACAGTGTAGTGAACTCTGTAATATCGTGTGAGTTTGTTTTTGAATTCTGCTAATCTCTGATCCTTTGAAAGAAAGAAATAAGGATCGCTGAAGGAATGAAACACAGCGAACAAGAAAAGTATTTGCTTTAACGTTTACAGGAAATCACAGAGCATTTTAAAAAATGATTTCTTAAGTCAGACAGATAACACAAGAGGCTCAGTTGTTTAAAAATTTAGGAATGCAGTCTTGTGATCTCCCATTCAAGAAGAAATAAATCAAGCTATATTGCTCATAAGCTATAGGAATATTGTGTCCACGGAATTCCTGCAAGGTGAATACTGATAAACAAATGTGAAAAAAAAGAGTGCTAAAAGGAGTTTAAATTAACTGGAGCCCATGTGCATTAACTGGGATCCTGCAGGAGTCAAGGTCTACTGTGGTTTTCTCAGCAGATATGTTAAGCTTGGAGGGATTCACAATAATGCTACTTCAAGAAGATGAAATTAAACTTAGACAAGAACAAATTCTTTATGTTACAGAAAGAAAACTAAATGTCAATACAAATAACCAGCATGCCTCAGGAAAAATTTTAAGCATATAATACCCCAAGCACTGAGTTCATGAAATGATAATGCTGCACACAAAACACACGATCAACCTCGTCTGTCACCTATCAAGAGTAGCAGTGTCAAGTAATAATAGAAACGATTCAAACAAAACATGGAAGATGGCATTTTAGTTAAGCGAAGTAGAACAAAAATAGAGTTTTGCTCTGGAAACTATCTTTCTTAAAGTTTGGGCAAACTAGAAAAAGCACAGAGAAGATCAACAACAACAGAAAACTAAAAACCAGGGTGCACAAGGTCAGACTGAAGAACGGTACTTTCTTACAGACGGGTGAAGGTAGAGGGGATAAGAATCTCCCAGAAACAAGCATTTCTTCTCCTTATTTCCTTCAGGACAAGGAATTCCCTAATTTATAATTCTAAATATCTAGAGTTAGGAAGTTGTGTTTAGTCAAACAGTTAAGCACTGGAACAGACTGTACAGAGCTTTATGAAATTCCCTCTAATGAATATTTTCCAATAGGCTGCTGAAAAATAACCAGGGGTGACATAGTAATATACTTGTATGTTTGAAAGCCCTCAAGCTCTACACTTACATAGTCTCTAGTGAATTATTTGGAGACGCATCACAAGCTGTTATATTTCTTAACTTCTACCAAAAGTTTAAAGGTGTAGCTTTCTCGTCACATACTTCTGTTCTGAAACTTACCTCAGAAATATTTATCTGAATAGAAGCATGATCCTTAGCACCAATTATTCGGTTGCTAGCAGAGCTAAGGAATAAAATAACAAAGATATATTTAAACAAACAGAAGTGGACAGTGACAATGGAAAAAAACTATTAAAGCCAAATCTATATGAGAATTAAAGCTGCACAAGAAGTTTAGACAATAACAATTTAAGCTTTCAGTGCTCAGAAAATTAAAATGCAGTTTTAAGTACATTTAAAGGAGACTTTCACTTGGTAGCATCATGCCAAGTTGCCAACTATCCCCTCACTTTGGTTTTTATATGCCCATTTCACCTCTATACAATGCACACAGCAGCACAGGCCTTCAAAACACAGAGAATATCAAGTTTTTATTTTCTAAAGTGCAAAAAATACAGCAATCGAGGTAATTCATGAGAATGCAGTTTCTATGCCTTTTTCACTGGGAGCCATTGTAGCTGTCAAAAGACACTCAGGTTGCAATCCCTTAGAAGTCAGAGGTTGTAAAAAACATTTGACTTAAACCTAATAAAATGCATACAAATGGTTTACTTTTTAGTGATTTTTTTTTTTTAACACACATATTTACAGAAAACTTCTCACTGTCCATTTACTAAAATCTCAAAATTGCACTTAAGATGTGCTATCAAGGCAACAAGCGATCACTTAACAGGTTCACTATGACAGCCTGTAGCACGGGAACACCAGCACGCTGCAAACACGCACATTTACTTCTGAAATGAACTACACGTGAGCTGCCCCTGCCACTGTAAGGCTGACAGTTATGCAGCAGAAGATGCACAGTATTCTCTTCCACTTTAGTCTTTGCTTCACGTATCATAAGATATTTAAAAATACAGAAACAGATAGAAAACAGATTTTTTTTTTTCCCCGCAGATATTCGCTACTACAAAAAAGCCTGCTTTTGCACAGAGCGCACCGGCCGCCGGCCCGGTTCTCCGCCAAGGGGGCCAGGCGCTGC